ACAATAGTTTATTACTAGATTATGCAAATTAACCAGCATTTAAAATTTCATTGTGAATTAATAAATGTAGGCTCTGGTTAGCAATGGTTGCTAATATGCCAAAAAAAGAGAGACAGACATTATACACCCTTGTCTGGAGGTATACAACACCATCTAGTCTTTCAAAAGTGAAAAAAAAAATAAGCAGGAATTGAACAAGTCTGTAGAGCTAAGAGGGGGCTAGAAATTGTGCATTATGCTGCTATAAAGGATGGGTCAGCAAAATGAGACTATAAACAAACCAACTGGTTTCTTTAATAAAAGAATGCAAGACAAAAAAACAGATGGAGGAGCAATCTATAAATGAAAAGAAAAATAAGATACATATCACCCAAATGCAATGTGTGGATTGTATTAGAATCCTAATTCAATCAAAATGTAAAAACAAAAAGCACTCTAATCAAGAAACATGATTAAATATTTGATACCTTCATAATATGTTAAATTTATGGATGATAACACTATTGCATCAGTATGTACACATGTATTTTTTTTAAAGTTATTATCCATTTGAGGTACTTATGGACCTATTTACTGAGAAAATGAAAGCCAAATTCAATGTGAATTGCTGATTGAAAATACAAACTTTTATAAAGTTAATAACCTGGACATACTAATTATCTTATACTATAGAATGTTACAGAAAATACAGATTTCTATTTTACACATAAATAATAAAAGCATGATTAATCTAATAAAAATGGGCAAAAGGCGCAAGTAAGCATTTCATAGGAAATGTGTATGGTGTCTGGAGGATATATAAATCCATAGCTTCCTAAATATTTTAGTGTTTCCAAAATCTCTTTGGAAAACAGTTGGCAGTATCTCCTACAAATGAACATTCATATTAGCTTTGACTTAGCAATTTCGCTCATAGGTATAGATCAGAGAGAAAATCTTGCCATGTACAGGAATGTTCACAGCAGTGTTATTTATAATAGCAAAATTGTGGAAACAGCCTTAATACCTTTTAGTGGTAGACTGGATGACTAGGTTGCCTCTCCACTGACAGGAGAGTAAATGAGTAAGTACAAAGGAATATTATACAATTCAAATCAAATAACTATAGCAAACACAACAATGTGGATAAATTTCAATAAAACAAGTCCCAAAATATTATATATAGAATGATACCCTTTTTTTAAAGCTAAGAAAAAATAACAATATGTATATTAATAGGTACTTTAAATATATACAAAGAGAGAGCGATACACATACACACATATGTAGATATATAAATAACACTATCAAAGAGAACAAGGGGAGGATGAACAGGGTTTCAGGATGGTGGCCACCTTGGGTGACCAGAAATGATGGAATGGGAGGGCAACTACTACATGATTAGATGGAAGGTATTGCAAAGGTCCTGGTGTTTTGTTTGGGTAATGGTTTTGTAGATACTTATATTATTAAAAATAATAAATAAAAGCAGAACACTTGTGGACTAATAAAGATAAGTGCTGTGAACCAAGGATAATGATTATTTTATTTTTTTATAACTGAGTTCTAATTAGAGTATCATTCTGTATACATTGCTATATAAAGAATATTTTTAAATATAGTTACAACCATTGAAAAGGTATATTCATGAATGTTGATTTTTGTCTAAATTTACAAAGGTTTTTTTTTTTATGTGTTTTATATGCTACTTAAATGGCTATTGCCAGAAATGCACATTGCTTGGCTACCTAGGGAATGCTTCAGGTTTTTCTGGATACTTGATTTTTTAATTAGAAATAGTATTTCTGAAAACATTTTCTAAAGCACATTAATTTTCTACTGTATTAGTGATTCACGACTGAATTTCTAATAATGCTTATGTGATGAATTACTTTAGTGGGCACAAAAGATTGGGCTTTCTCTGGTGAGGCTTAGAACATAGCCTAGAATTTGCTTTTTTTCATGAAATCCCTGATATAAAACTGTTTTCTTAGGACTTTTTCCCTTTAAAAATCATATTTCCATTTATTTCATTCTTATTCTGGTTAACTGAAATTTTATTACCTAAGGATTTATGGTAATTTTACTATAATTTTCCACATTATTCAGTCTAAGATTATTAAGGTGATAATTCATATATTTATTTAAATATCTGCTTTGTTACAGATACTTTGCTAGGTGCATACTCATTCATTGATCTAATCATAATAATAAATGCGTAATTAAAAATTGAGGTCATACTCTGAAGCTAAGTGAGATGTTTCTGTGAAGACAAAAATGACTTAATCTGTATTTCAGAAGTGACTTTTAAACTGAGATCTAAAGGATAACTGATAATCAGTTAACAGGTGGAGCACAGGTCATGGTATAGGATTTAGGTTAGCAGAAATAGCTATGGCTGTGGCAGGAGGAAGTACAGCATGACTAATAAATAAAAGAAGTAGTGTATGGTAGTGGTGGGAATCAAAAGTGACACAAACTACAGAGATAGGCAGAGGCCTGATTAATTCAGGACCTAGGAACAATGGGAAACCCTTGAGGATTTCTAATTAGGAATCTATTGAAGAACAGATTTGTGTTTTGAGAAGAATGCTTGTTTAATTAGCCAACCTTTGCACAGATTGTAGACTTCACAAGTACAAGGAGGAGCTATTGATCCCACCAAGTGTAATGCAAGTAGGTAGGTACTAAGTAAATATGAAATGTGACCATTAAGTGCTCAGTGTCTGGTACATAGTATAAGTACTCAATAGTGTTGGCTGTGGTTTTCATTGCTCTAGATTGGCCTTTGGTGTGGACAGTGGCTACTGTAGCATTAGAGATTTCATGAAATAGTTAAATCCAAAAGTGTCTATTGAAGACCTGTGATATACATGGAGGAATCAGCAGCTAAATTTAGTAGAATTTTATCTTTTCTTTTCTCTTATGCCCCAGAAATGGACAGAGCAGAAAAGTAATTGAGAATTCTGTTAATAAATCAGATTAGCTTACAGCAAGAGGCATAGGTGCTTTGGCTCTACACTACCCATTTTATTCAATTAGAGTTTAGTGCTTGTTAATATGTTCATATTTATAGTTGGCTTTTATAGGATGGCTTCTAGAGTTCTCAGTAAAATTACCTTTCCATAGCTCATTTAAAATAGTTTCAACATTATTCCTAACTAATGCTAGTTAATTTTATATACAGTGGAGTACCTTGTCATTTTTCATCTCAAAGAGTATTTGCTATTAGATATTGCTATTAGAAATATTTATTGTGAAAATCTATCACTTGTAGTACTATAGCTTTAATATTTTATTTTTTCAAGTGTTTGTATATGATGTGTCTACTCTTAATGTAGAGTATGTACTTATATCATGAACTTCCTGGCCACTCCCCCATACTCTTTAATAGAGAATACTATTTGATTTTGTATCCTTTAATAAAAGGTGCCCCACTTGGGTGGACTAATTACCAAAAGGTTCCCCTGTTTCTGACACATCCTGTGTCAAGGTGTACTACTTAAAGGGTGGCGTCTGGACCACTTTTCAGCTCCTACTTGGGTGCCTTTAAGCCATGCGAAAACTACAAAACTGTATTTAGTGGCCTTCGATAGTAACTCAGTGTAAATTAGATGTTGTTCACCATCAACCAAATTATAGATAGTCCTTCATAAACAAAGCAAACCTACTTTAAAAAGTAGAACAGTTCATTTACAGGTGTTAGATGCAACCTTCAGTTAAAACACTAATTGTTCAGCTTGTTTTCAGAGTTTTTGCTTTTGTAAAGTTTTGTGCATGGGGGAAGTTGTAATTTTTAGGAAATTTTTTATTTTGTCATATAAAGCTAAGGTTCTTTGTTATTTTTTAATGTGCCTAGCTTTGAATGCCAATAAATAAATAAATAGTTTCATTAATTAATTTTCACATGCACATACATCTATTTAATTTTTACTGTGGAATTCTTAAAATGTATATAAAGTGTGGAAGCCTCAAATCTCTCATTCAGCCTCATCAGTTGTCAGTATATTGTTTTATCAGCTTCCTCCCAATTCTCCTGCCATAAATTATTTTGAACCAAATTCCAAATATTATGTTTTAACCTGCACATTTTTAAATATCTTCTCTGGGAAATAAAGACAATTTTTAAAAATTTTCATATTTTAAGCACAGTTTATTTTAACATCTAAAAAATTAATATTACCCAGTCTGTATTCAGGCTTTTTCTTTAAACACGTACTTTTTTTAAAAATTGATTTTAGCAAGAGAGAGGAAGAAGGAGAGAGACAGACAGACAGAAACACCAATTTGTTGTTCCAGTTACTTACACATTCATTGGTTGCTTCTTGTATGTGCCCTGACTGGGGTCAAACCTGCAACCTTGGCATGTTGGGACAATGCTCTAATCAAATGAGCTACCCAGCCAGGGCAAGACTGTTTCAATTGTTTGCAAATTGTTTTTAAAGTTGGTTTGTTTGAGTCAGAATCAAAACAAGAGTATGCAGTATAAATGGTCAATATGTCTCCTGAATTACTTTAAATCTATAGCATTCCCTTTCTCTCTTTTTTTTTTCCTTGTTATTTACTTGTTGAATAAATGGTCAAGTATTTGCCCATTTCTGGAATTTGTTAATTGTATCCCTGTGGTATCATTTAAGCTTTCCAAGAATACTTTTTACTTATGTTTAAATATATGGAACCTAAAAATATATGGAACCTAATCTCCATATACTGTTAACAAGTTTTTGTTTAAGTGGAAAATTAATGCTTACCGTAATTGTTGAAGATTCAAGGATTTTAAAGATATTTGTAAACATAAAAGGGAGGAACTGGAGAAAAGTCCATATAGGCTACAGAAAGTAGTTGAATTTTATTTAGCTCTATGTTTATAGCTCTCTAATTATTTTGATAACATTATAAATTTGTTGCCATCTTAATATATTGTAAGACATTGGAATATAAGATTGTAGCCAGAATAGATACACAGGTTGATTTTGGTTAAAGTAACATTTTTTATTAACTTTTTCTTACTTACAAAAAAGATACCAGGTGATCAGCACTCCAACAGATTTTTTTATGGTAATGGAATATGTGTCTGGTGGTGAATTATTTGACTACATCTGTAAACATGGACGGGTGAGTACCACTATCGAAAATCCCTAAGCTAAAAAAGAGGGAAGTAGTGGGAAATAGTAAACCATAAAGATATTTTTAAATTTGGGGTTGCTTCTGTAATAATGCGCAACTAAACATGCAGGCTATTAGGCATATTTTCTTTCTTAAAAATATGACTTCTGAAATACTGATTTTGGGAAATAAGTTCCACTTAATTGCCAACATGATGCCTATGCTTTTTAAATTGAAAAATCTATTCTATTACAGCTTCATGTCAAAGCTTCAATTATTTCTTAGAGTTTTTGCATAAGTTCTATTTCGGATTGTTTTTCTTGTTGATTCCTCAAGACTTGTGCACATTTAGTCATATTAATTGAAAATTAAATATTACTGGCCAGAATCAAAGAAAAACCTGTTGATTGACATGTTGAGCTTTAATGCAAGTTTTTGCTTTGATTTGTTGAAAATTCTAGCACAATCTAATGCGCTTACTCAGTTATATTTAGGCTGATTTTGAAACTGAAACTCTTGCTATGTAGATGTACCAAATATTTTTAGTGCAGCTTGTTTTACGTTGATAGGTTGAAGAGATGGAAGCTAGGCGGCTCTTTCAGCAGATCTTGTCTGGTGTGGATTACTGTCACAGGCATATGGTTGTTCACCGAGACCTGAAACCGGAGAATGTGCTGTTGGATGCACACATGAATGCCAAGATAGCTGATTTTGGTATGTAACTCCAGAGTTGTTCAGAAATTCACTAGCTACCTTTCAAAGTATGTGAGTAACAATGCTTAAAGAACTAAGAACTTTGAGTTTCAACATTGTAAATCCTGTACCATGAAAAGGGATTAGTTGCACAGTCTTCTTAGTAGCTGATTCTGTTCATTTAAACATGCTTTAAAAAAACAAAACCCTCAGACACAGCAGTGTGGTGATTACCGGAGAGAAAAGGGGATGGGAGGAGGTAGAAGAGGTAAAGGGGAAATAAATGGTGACGGAAGGAGACTTGACTCTGAGAGGTGAACATACAATGTAATATACAGATGATGTGTGATAGAATTGAACACCTGAAACCTATATAATTTTATTAACCAATGTCATGTCAAAAAATTCAATAAATAAGTAAAAATTATAATAAAAATAAAAAATGCAGCAGATACTTTTAGAGAAGTTACAGGGCTAGGTAGGCATCAAGGTAAACTCATTCAATCTGCACTTCTTCCGAAGGAAATGAAACTTAGCTGTTTTTATGTAGGGGTCACAGACCCCTTTGAAAATGTGGGCACTTTCTTTTGATGAGTGCACTTAAACAGGTATATGAAAATTTGCATGCTATTTTGGAGCTTTATAGTTCTGTGAATCAGTGGGGGCAGTGTCAGTGGATCGCAGGGTAACAACTACCACTTAATAAAAGAAGTGTTTTTGCCAGGGGTAAAATAAAAGCTAAAATGTAATTTTTATGCGCCGTACACTTTGTGGGGTAAACATACCTGGAAAGGCTGCAATTAATAGGGTGTTTTGGGAAAAGGATTAGGAAGTAAGAGATTATAGAAAAAAGAGAGAAATGAGCCAGACATCAGCATTGCTTATTTAAAATTTTTGTCAACACTTTAATATATAAACCAGGAAACTGGTTTCCCTATTTCTCTTCCTTCTTTAAATCACAGAACTCAGTTAGTGCTATAGTTCAACTAGATTTTCGGTTTAATAGGTTATTTTTTTCTATGTTAAATTAAAGCTTTCCAAATTACAAACTTTTGGAATGTAACTTAAAAATTGGAGCATGTCTTACTGCTACTTTTTAAAAAAGGCTTTTGAAAGCACAGCATACAAAGTAATAGTCTTTATTTTATTCTTTCAACTGTAAAAATAGGTAAATAATATTTCAGTGTGATTATGCTTGGAAAAATTTGTATAGTGTAGAATAACCTCATATTTGTGAAACAAATCAGCATTTTTATTTAGAAGAGGAATTTAATTTCAATGACACATGTGATGTTTTAGTTTTTTTGTCATAGTGTAACAGCACTCTGAAATGATCTCTTTCTAGTGTAACAAATGCTTTCCACTACTTTTTTTATTCATTAAAAAATATGATGTATGGAGCGTTAAAGACTTGGCATTTTTTCTCATTCATTTATCTATATCTACGTTTAGAAATACCTAGCACCATGTAAACATTACTCTCATTTTCAGGATTATCTAATATGATGTCAGATGGTGAATTTCTGCGAACTAGTTGTGGATCTCCAAATTATGCAGCACCTGAAGTAATCTCAGGCAGGTAATAATATATCAGTGAAGAGTAAGTTTTTGTAATCTTTTGTTCATTCTGGTAACACTTAATTATATATTTTCTTTACAAGATAAGATTTTTAACACAGTTGAAACAGATTGTCCCTTTATTTTTTCATTGTTGAAGATTATATTAAACAATATTTAATATATTGAGAAAATAATTTAATTTTGTTATGAATGTATTTAAGGAAGTTTTCTATTAAAAATAACTGAAATAAATGTTGATTATTTTCATTTTTAAAAAAGTGTAGATAGAGTAAGCATTTGGTAAATTTAAGTGACTGTTATTACTTAGTTATGAGACATGATCCTTTCATGATATTTTACATACTCTTTTATAAAATATGCAGAGTATTTTATATTTCATTTTTGGAAGAATGAGGTTTTAGGAGGACAGGATATCATTTTCATAATTTCAGTAACACAAGTGGAGATTTTATAATTACTCATGTAATTTTCTCATTCATACATTTTAAATATGTTTATACAGATTACAGTCATAAGCCCAAGTCTTCTGTAGAGACTAATATCTGATTTTAAAAGTTAACAGAATCTTATGAGAGAAAAGATAGGAAAGGTATTATTACAAGTAGCAGGTATAGGAGTTGGGACAATACAGCCAACAGTGTAAATGATGGACAGCAATTTTGATTGAAATGGATTATATTCTTTTAATGGGAATTGTAGAGATTTACTTTGTTACCTCAGACCCAGATTTGAGTTTGGTAGTGTGCTGTTGGGAATTTTAATTCTGTATATCGAAAAAAGGAATAACCTTCTAGGCATAGGTTTTGGGAAGCAAAGCTAATCTTAGTCCCATGAGTTCAAATGATTAGGAAGAAAGTAACAAGTACTCAGGATAACATGATACAGGATAAATACTGTCCCAGACATTGCCACAGGACTTGTTAGGTACTTTACTGCCTCAAATATTTTTTTTTAAATAATTGTACCAGGAATGAAATTCTATTACATATGCATATTCTTTCTTGTTAATAGTTTAGTAAAAAAAAGATTTAGCCTATATACTCTATAGAATTGGGTTTTTTTTCAAGTCTATGGTCATCTACTTTGATGTTTTTATAAAAAATCAACCATAGTAAGTTATATATGTGTGGGGGGGTGTGTGTGTATAGATAGATAGACAGACTAATTTGAGGGGGGTGGGGAGAGAGAGAGAGAAAGAAATATCAGTGTGAGAGAGAAACATTGCTTGGTTACCTCCCATATGCGTTCCAACCCAGGAAATGGGAATCAAATCCGCAACTTTTTGTTTTATGGAAGGACACTCAAACCCACTGAGCCACCCCAACCAGGACAAAAGTTTTATAGTTTTTAGTTAGTCAACAAGTTTAAGGAAATGAGTTTGTGCCAAAAAAATAAAAATACTATTTCCTCTTGGAAAACTTGAATAGTAATTGTTGAGATCAATTAATTATTCTCCATGAGCAACAGTCATTGAGTATTGGAGAGTGGCCATGGACTTCATTAAAGACCTTGAAAGTGCCCTGGCCTGTAGTTCAATTGGTTGGAGCATCATCCCATAAATTTGAAAGGTCATGGGTTCGATTCCTGGTCAGGGAACATGCCTATGTTGGGGGTTCAGTCCCTGGTGGGGTGCATATGAGAGACAGCTAATTAATGTTTCTCTTTCACATCGATGTCTCTTTCTCTCTCTCTGTCCCTTCCCTTCTCTCTCAAATCGATAAGCATGTCCTCAGATGAGGATTAAAAAAAAAAAAAGACCTTGAAAGCAAAATATGCCTAGTCAATACTATGTATATATAGAAGCAGGGTACGTGTAGGTGAGAAACTGACACTTGCATTTCAGGTTTGTGTGTCATCTTCCTTCTTAGATTGTATGCAGGTCCTGAAGTTGATATCTGGAGTTGTGGTGTTATTTTGTATGCTCTTCTTTGTGGCACCCTCCCATTTGATGATGAACATGTACCTACGTTATTTAAGAAGATCCGAGGGGGTGTTTTTTATATCCCAGAATATCTCAATCGTTCTGTCGCCACTCTCCTGATGCATATGCTACAGGTTGACCCCCTGAAACGAGCGACTATCAAAGACATAAGGTGAATATTTTTTGTTACTATTATGTATATATTCTAGTATTAATAATAGTATCAGTAATTGAATGCCTTCTTTATTCTGGGCCCTGTAGCACTTTATACAGATTTTACTTCCCTTAATATACAAACATGATCATGTCACTCATCTTTAAATGTTTCAGATTGTTTCCCAAACTTTGTAGTTTAGGTAGCAAAACATACAAGGTCCTTCATAGTAAGTCTGTAGTTACTTATTCTAAGGTCTCATTTCCTGCATTCACTGCTACACACCTTTACCAGTGCTTTAGCCACATTGAATTTTTCCTTGTTTCTCAAACATATTTTATGCCTTCCTGTTTTTTTTCATACGATTCCTTTCACCTCTAATGCCTTTTCTGCCTTTTTTTTGACCTGATAGATTTCTATTCACCCTTTTATCAGGAGTGTCCAACCTGCAGACTGCAGGCCGCATGCAGCTCAGGATGGCCAAGAGGGTGGCCCAGCACAAACTCATAAATTTACTTAAAACATTATGAGATTTTTTTGTGATTTTGTTTTGCAATGTATTTAATGTGTTGCCCCAAACAACTCCTCTTCTTCCAGTGTGGCCCAGAGATGCCAAAAGTTTGGACACCCTGCCTGCTCAGAAATCACTTCCCTTCTGAAATCATTTCTGATTTCCCTAGGCAATATTGGTTGCTTCCACTTCTGTGATTTCCACATTTTGTTCACACTTATAATTCTTTTGTTCTCTTTTGTATGTACCTATTTTCCAGTGTATCTTTCTTGCCCTTAAACTGTAACTCAATAAAGGTAGAGTCTTCCTCATCTTTGTATATGCAGTGCTAGAAGGCCTAGGATTCAGTATATGCTCAGATAGTATTTGAATAAATTTCAAAGAGAAAAACCAGGTGAGATTTATGTATTTTACACATGGTTGATGAAATAAAGAATAAAGGTTTTGCTAAGATTTTGAATCCAAGAATAGCTGCTAGTGGGTTTGCTGTGAAGGATTTCTTGTTATGTGAGAAAATTTGGAAAATGCAGTTGCTGGTGTTACTGTGAATATGACTTTTATATAGTACACACAAGCCAGGATGATTCATTGCCTTCTACTTTTACTTCTCATGTGATGTTTCTTAGAGGTTTTATTGTTCTTACCTAACATTTTATCCAGTATTTGCTTACAAACACATTCTTTTGACCTTTTTCCAGAATCTTCCTTCTCTTCATAAGCCAGAATGACTGTTTAAAGACCTAGGACTCTTGGAATATTTAAATGATTGCTGAGGTAGTTGTTTACATGACTGAAAGCAAGGACTGATTCCTTTTATATTCCTGTACTGTTTTCTTCCCCCAGCTTTTCATCAGTTTTCCAGGCCTCATGCATAAACATGTAAATTTGTAAATTAGCACCAGATTTAGTTATGAAAATGAATTTAGAGGTGGGGGGGACCTTTTGTGTTTACAGTTCTTTAGAATATATAGTTCATTTAATTGGCTTTTCTTTAGAAAGGAAATTAAATATGATGATATATATACTTGTATCTGTATCAGCACAGTTAGAAGAATAAGTATTGATTCTGTTATTTCAAAACAGATGTTTGTGTATGTACACACTTTAGAAGAAAAATGTAAGTAAAACCATTTACTAGGATGTAGGTGGTATAAAAAGTGGCATTCACTTCTGTACTTAATAGAATAACTTGAATTAGTAGTTTTCATCATTTTTTATTTATCTGAACTCAATTTTTAATGTTTGGGAATTTTTGATTCATAAAATACAGTTCATAGGGAAAGAATTACTAATTATTGAGTAATTATTACATAACATAATTTGCTGGATACTTAATATGTTTTGTTGCATTGACTCTTAATAAGCCCTAGGATTCAGTATATGCTCAGATAGTATTTGAATAAATTTCAAAGAGAAATCTTATTGTTAATCTTATTTACAGACCTTGAAACTGATACCTGATTTAGATATATTAATATTTTTTATCCTCTGTTATTTCGTTTGAAAAATTAATCCTATCATTTTTATTATGTAACATTTATTAGATGCTTATTATTATCATGATATAGCAAATAAATTAAGGAATTCATTTTTGTCTTTATATTTCGTATGTCATCATTTCTTTATTCTGCGTTTTTGAGCATTTACTGTGTTTTGGGTCCTAGAGTATAGTTAAAGAAGACATGGTCTCTATTTCAAGGATTTCTAAGTTTAGAGGAAAGATTAAGAAAAATCAATAAATATAAAAACATCTGAGTGTTATTATGGAAAGATCTACTAAAAGCTGTAGAGGTTTCATCTTTGTATGTCGTTGGAGCCTGGCACACCATCATCTCTCACTTGGACTCTTGGCACTACCATCATCATTATTATTTTTTATCTTTTTCATTTAATTTATATATTACAAGCAGGAAACTATTTACAGAATGCAAATTACATCCTTTCACCCCTGACTCTTTAAAATCTTTTGGTGATTTTCATCAATCATAAGTTCGAATTCCCAAATGTTTTTTATAGCCTACTGCTATCTGAACTTTCTGATATCTTTTGCCACTCCAACCCATAACTCACTGTCCATCATGATAGTGGTTTGAGTTCAGTTCCTTGAACTTGGCAAACTCTTGTTACAGAGTCTCTGCATATATTGTCACTTTTGCTGGGAGAACCTGTTCCTCAATTCTTTGCTTAGGTGGCTTCTAATCATTCTGATACCCGCTTAAACATTACTCAGAATGGCTTCCCTAATCACTTGCACCCCATTCTGAATTATATTCTCTCATTTTACCTTGTGTTTTTCACTCAGAATTTTATCACATGATTTTTGTGTTTGTATATTTGTAACTATGTATTTATTTTTGTGAGCATTTGTTTAACCTTCATCTCTTTTGCCATAGAATATCCTTAGTAAATATTCATAATGAATTAATCATTATGAATGGTAGCCAGTCAAAATCTATATTGATCTGAATTTAAGCTTAGGGAGTACCCCATTCCCCCATGTAGTAATGCTTACACGATCTGGAAAGAAAGTGCATGTAGATGAAAGGGGATTGGATGTCCTAGGGTGGCAATAGTAATATCACATACAAAGGCCCAGAGTTTGAGAAAATAAGATTTGGGAGACTAATTCTCAAACTTTTTGGTTTAGTAACCCTTTGCATTCTTAAGGCTGAAGTCTCCAAAGAGTTGCTGGTTTTTTCTTTTTAATGCAGGTATATCTATCAATATTTACTGTATTAGAAATTAAAAATGAGAAATTTAAAAATTACTAAATGTACTTAAAAATAATAATAAACCTATACATATTAACCTAAATAACATCTTTTATGAAAAAATAGCCTTATTTCTAAAAACAAAAAAAATGATGATGAGAATGGCATTATTTTATACTTTAAAAATCCTCTTAATGTTTGCCTTAAAAGTAGCAACTAGGTTCCTATATCTACTTCTTCATTCAGTCTTTTGCAGTACGGTGTATTAGTTGAAGTCTATGAACTAAATCTGACCTCATTCATATAAGGGGTTTGAAAAGAGAACATTTTAATAGATTTCAGGTAATTGTGGGTATTTTTCTTTAATATAAAACCAAATCTTAACATGTTAGTTGCATCATCAAATCAGAAAACATATTAACTATTGTACTTTATTATATTGAAACCTACTGGTCTCTTTTGCATTTTGAGTGCATTCGTGCCTATGTATAATTCTATGACGTCATGCATTGGTCATTTGGAAAATATCGGGTTATTGAGTTTTAGGGATTTTCCAAATAGTGACACATTTTATTGTACAATATCAAAAATCATATTCATTGTTATCACTACAGAGTTATTAGACAAGTCTTTAAATACTGGGAAGTTTTTCAGCTTCTGGGGACAGACACAAATTACATAAAATTCTACAATTTTGCTTGAAAACTTGGATTTTATCATTGACATAAAATACTTCCTGTTGTCGCCTTCACAATGACAGGCACATTTTGTTTGTTTTTGAAAAAATGGCAGCCTAATATCCAAGTCTGAATAACAATAGTTATTCATGGGTGTTACTAACTTAACCTGGGTCACGTAACTATTAAGTGACTAGAGAGCAGGTCTGTCTGATTGTGTTATATTGTATTGCCCCATGTCTAAATTATTTGGGACTTGCCAAAGCAAGTTCTTACAATAGTGTATTGTGATATTTTTCCTAGAGAGCATGAATGGTTTAAACAAGATTTGCCCAGTTACTTATTTCCTGAAGACCCCTCGTACGATGCTAATGTCATTGATGATGAGGCTGTGAAAGAAGTATGTGAAAAATTTGAATGTACAGAATCAGAAGTAATGAACAGTTTATATAGTGGTGACCCTCAAGACCAGCTTGCAGTGGCTTATCATCTTATCATTGACAATCGAAGAATAATGAACCAAGCCAGTGAGTTCTACCTCGCCTCTAGTCCCCCCACTGGTTCTTTCATGGATGATAGTGCCCTGCCTGTTCCTCCAGGCCTGAAACCTCATCCAGAACGGATGCCACCTCTCATAGCAGATAGCCCCAAAGCAAGGTGTCCGTTGGATGCACTGAATACAACCAAGCCCAAATCTTTAGCTGTAAAGAAAGCCAAATGGCATCTTGGAATCCGAAGTCAAAGCAAACCATATGACATTATGGCTGAAGTTTACCGAGCTATGAAGCAGCTGGATTTTGAATGGAAGGTAGGAAATTGTATATTAAAATCATTTGTAGAAGCCATTTGTTTTTTGTATTATAAGGTGCTCTGCTGCTGAGTTGAGGACTGAGATCTAAAAGTTTTTAATTTAGATATAAATTTAATGGTCTTGATGCTTTTGGCTATAAATGCCATTCTTTGCAATAATAAACTATTTGCATTCAAGACAGAACAAACTTGTGCAAGGAAGAAGAGTGTTGATGTTGGGGACCTACATATTTTTGAATTACAAAATATCATTTTTGTTAAAGAAACAAAAAATAATCAATTGGAAAACACCTAAGAAAATAGTCTCGCTGTTTTAGCATTCATTGTAACAATAAAAAGTCAAGTGTCTTTAAAGATAGTATGTATTTACTTTTCTTTTTTTACTTAATTTTTTTTTCAAATACATTTGTCTCTGCCTTCCCCCCACCACATTCCCTTTGTTTTTACTTTTCCCTTTCTTATATTAAGCAGTGTTTTTCTTTTTGCCAGTAGCAGTAGTGGCTAGTGGTCAATACAAATTATACCATCAAGATAGATTTTTTTCAGTCAACAAATACTTGTCTCTAAGTTGAGAAAGCCTCTCTTATTTGGCTGGTGCTTTTAATCCTTAAGTATGGTATATTTTTCTTACTCTCAGCCTACATTCTACTTTTTAAAACAAAATAAGTTTTAAATTTATTTCAATTCTATTTATTTGTCAGGGGGAAAAGCACTTTTTTAATTTCTGGCATCCCTTGAACTTTTGTTCCTAAGGACTGCAAATATATTTTTAAAGGTAGGAGAAAAAAGTTCAAACATACGGTATAAATATTCACTTGACATGTTTGAATAAATCAGTCATTTTTATTTCATTATTTGTACATGAAATGCATAAATAAAATATTTCCTTAACCCTATTTATTTATTTTATTTTGTAAATAAAATAGAGAGGAAGGGGAGGAGAGAGAGAGAGAATTTGATGTTTTACTTGTTTATGCCTTCATTGGTTAACACTTACATGTGCCCTGATCGGGGATCAAACCTGCAACCTTGGTGTAACGGGATGACACTAACCCCCTGAGCAACCCAGCCAGGGCTTTCTTAAACCCATTTAAAACTCAGATCTCTCTTTTCTGAAGCAAATATTATTTAGTTAAAAAAAGATGTTAATATCTTTAAAATTCCTTACTGAAAAAATTTTGTAGCTAATTTGATAGATGGCTTTGCAAACCCAAAATCATCTTTATCTGAGCTGTAGTTTTCTTATCTTCACAAGGCAGATAATATCTTTCTCACAGTGTTTTTTGTGATACTTAAATTTTGTGACAGTACCTGTTACCGTACTGTATCTGATACAGACCCCTAACATATTAGTTCCCCTTTATTTCTTCTACTCTCTATTTATAGGTAAAACTATCCAAGTTGAATCTGTGCAACCAAAATTACTATTGATGTTTTGGAGTGAAGTATATGTAGAATGAAGGCTAGACTCTAAATAATCTCTGAGTTCCCTTTAATTTTAATTGCTGTACACGAACAGTATTGTTAGTAGGGATTAAAAACTAAATGACACCCTTGCCAGTGTTGCTCCATTGCAGCATTGTCCCATAACCGAAGGGCTGAGGGTTCAGTTCCAGGTCAGGGCACATGCCTAGGTTGTAAGTTTGATCTCTAGTCCGGATGCATACGAGGGGCAACCAATCGATGCTTCTCTCTCGAATCGATGTTTCTCTTTCTCCCTTCCTCTCTCTCTAAAAGCAATGAAAAAATGTCCTCAGATGAGGATTAAAAAAAATACTAAATTACCGTGTAATATAAAAAAAAAAATCATTCAGGAATTTCTTCTCTATTCTACCTCTCTCAATGATTTGTTTCATATTCTTTGAAATAATAATAGGGAGATATTTTATAGTTTGTTATTTTTAACAGTTATCCTTAACAAATATTTCTCATTTTAGGTAGTGAATGCATACCATCTTCGTGTAAGGAGAAAAAACCCAGTGACTGGCAATTATGTGAAAATGAGCTTACAGCTCTACCTGGTTGACAACAGAAGCTATCTCTTGGACTTTAAAAGCATTGATGGTAAGGAAGCTATGCAGGCATGAACTCTGAGAAGATAAAACTTGGCACTAGTTGACAAAATGTTAAAATCATCTCAAAGGCATGGTGGGTAGGTCTTTTATACTGGTTTTTAAGTAATCTAGATTTAACCAAAAATATAAGTGGAATGAAAAGGATCAAAGTCACATGGAATATCTCTAATCCAGCATCTCTCCAAAAGAAGTGCTTCCTTGCTCTAAAAAAAACATTTGAAGTGTTGGCTGTGGAGCAAACACCAGGGAAGCAATTTTTACCTAAAATTAGCTGATGATGTCAGGTTCTTTGTTACATTTCCTCATTCATATTTTATTGCTGTTAGCATTATAATATCTAACCTTCCCCTTCATCAGCTTCTTTTATCTTGCTTGGCCAAGGTGACCAAAGAGGCCTCTCCTGGAATTTAGGTTAGATTTTGGTGCCCATGGCCATCCAGGAGCCAAAGGAGTCAGGGAAGGAGGTCCTGTCCAGATATTTAGTGTGTGCCAAGAATCAAACCTAGGTGAACCAAATGTGCTTACTTCATTCACAGGCCAAAGTAGGAGAAAAATAGAAGATCAGGTGCTGAATGGAACAAGAGAATGGAATTCAGATATAGGGAAGTTGATGTAAATACAGCTTTTAAATTCTTTTAAATTCTTTTTTTTTAAAATCCTCATCTGAGGATATGTTTATTGAATTTGAGGGAAGGAGGAAGGGAGGGAGGAAGAAAGGGAGAGAAGGGAGAGGGCAGGAGAGAGAGGGAGAGAGAAAGGAACATGGACACGGATGTGAGAGAGACATTGATCCAATGCCTCATGTATGTCCCAACTGAGGATCAAACCTGTAACCTAGGTACGATCCAGGCCTGGGAATTGAGGCTACAACCTTTTGGTGTACGGGACAGTGCTCCAACCAACTGAACCTCCTGGCCAAGGGCTAAATTCTGTTCTTGAATTCTCATTATCTATAGCAGTGTTTATATGGTCCCAGACCACCTTCATCAAAATTACCTAGAGTTCTTATTGAAATCCCAGTTCTTGGCAACTGCACCCAGATCTAAATCAGAATCTCTGTGGTAGGAAACTAGGAATATGCATTTTAAAAAAAGAGTTCCCTCCCCTCTCCCCCCAGGGAATTTCAACATGCACAAAGGTTCAGAACCACTGTGTGATGGTAACTTTTATTTTGTTGATACACTATAAGAAAATAAGCCTTTGAGGATGTGCTTTCTTCATATGCAAGGATATCAGTTTGATTTCAAGGTTAATGCTGAATCATATGTTGACATTTATTATTAAGTTGCCTTTGCTGGATGTACTTAATATTGTGAATATAGCATTTTCATAGGAAGGGCTGGGGCAAATGTAACTTTCTAATAAATTGCTCTTCTTTGGTCCATTTCAGATGAGGTGGTAGAACAGAGGTCTGGTTCCTCAACACCTCAGCGTTCCTGTTCTGCTGCTGGCTTACACAGACCAAGATCAAGTTTTGATTCTGTAACTACTGAGAGCCACTCACTCTCTGGCTCCCTCACTGGCTCCTTGACTGGAAGTACATTGTCTTCGGTTACACCTCGCCTGGGCAGTCACACCATGGATTTTTTTGAAATGTGTGCCAGTCTGATCACTACTTTAGCCCGTTGATGATCTTTCCCTAGTTTATATATTTCTTCTATTGCACTGTGAAAAATCACATATATTCTTTAAATTATTTTACTTGTGCGTATCACATACTCTAAAATGCTGATTGACAAGAATATTGCCAGGGGACACTCAATGCCATTGAAATTACTGAAAACAGAAAAGTCTGACATTTTATTTACTTGTAGAAATCTGTAATTCTGTTTTGTCTGTGATAAATTCCCATAGGCAATATCTTTAATAAGTCAACATTGATGATTGTTAATTAAAACTATTACAGTCCACTACACATGATTAATACACCTTAACTGGTGAACCATCTCAATCAAGGGGTGTTTGGGCAGCTCCTTCTTGCTTTACTCTTTGGTGTAGGTAAATCCAGTTTACAAATTCCTAAAAATTTCAGTGGTCTTTAAGCTATGCTTATGCACCCAATTCTTTTGCACAAGAATATTTTTTTAAAAAAACAACCATTAGTAAAATACTTTTTAAATGTTGAAATCTTAAAAGCCTGCTCCCCCAAAATTTTAGCAGCCAAGTTCTAGCAATTTTTGCCTAGTGTTAAACAGAATGGCTGTGGTCCTGAAACAGGTAACCATGATTCCCTGGTTCCTTAAAAATAACTGTAACCAAGTAGAGGTTTTATTTTGACATTTTCATGAACATGAATAATATACTAATTTTAAGAGTCTTCAAGGTCCTACTCAGTATTGGAATATCTGTCATCGCAACAACTTTTGTCATAAACTTATATCATTTTAAAACATGCCTTCAAAATCTATTTTTCTCAAATTCTTTTTGGCTCTATTTATTTTTATACTTTACCTAGCATTATAAAATTGACAGTTACATGAAACAAAGCAAAATATCAACAGTCCCTTAAAAGGGAATTCTCTGTCTCTTATTGAGTGTAGTGGCAGTGTGTGTGCGCGCGCGTGTGTGTGCATGTGCACGTGTATGAAATGTTAATTCTTCATCTGAAGTTTAAGTTTGTCATTACATCTACCCCCTTCCTCACTTTCCCTGCTCACCATTTTCTTTGTTTATTGCTTGATCCTTAGTGGCTGATTGGTTTAGCTTTTAAATCTCTGGCTCCTTTTCTTTATTTTATATATTAGTTGCTAGCCATCCAATTTGAAAACACTGTTCTGGCCTTAAGGGCTTTTTATTTAATTCCAAAGCTTCATAGGCTGTGACCTTCACTGTTGAACTTTTTAGGGCAGGGAAGCCTTAAACATTAAAAAAAAATACTCTCTTGTATAAATATATGTGGTGTTTACATATATATGTATGTATGTGTGTGTATATATATACATACATATATATGTATGTATGTATTCACACACCAGTGCTTTTGATGGAAAGTCAGGTCTTATTTCATGCAGGTTGTGTTATTTTGTAATCTTTAAAGAAAAACAACCTATACACAGTGGGGTAGATAATAGCTTATAAATTATATTTTGTTTTAGTAAAAGTATTTAATTTTTAAATTATGTATAATTTATCTACTTTGTATTTATTCATTTGTTTTCTTTAGTATGTTGTAATTAACAATCTCATTCACCTGACTTACCCTAGAAAAGATTAAGCTCTTGAAAACAAAATGTGACTAAGCCTTGACAGGTTTTTCTTTGCCAAAAATGATGTTTTCTACCAGAAGCAAATGAGAATGAATGTTAGATCAAATCCCTCCCGTGTTTATGTAAGACAAGCATGTCTTCTTTAAGTACTTTTGAGTCAAGAGTTTGCAGTGTTACATCATGTTGTTTTGTAGAACTTTTAAACAATCTTGTTAAGTACTTTTTAAGTCTGACTTCTTAATATCAAAGGAAAATTAAATCAGGAAAGAGGGTGGGGTTGCAGTTAAGTTTTAAGTTTAAACCTTTGAAAGGTTGCCACCTAGTGGCACCAAAGGGTGCTTTTTTTGTGATTATTTCTATAGGGATAAGCAGTAGTCTTAACTGTTAGTCTGATGTGCATTATAGATACCACATATTTTTCACCTCTCCAAATGTGTAAATATTTACCTCTTTTGGGAGAAACAAGGCCACCTCATCACATTTGCCTGACTATGAATGGACAACCTTAGCAATAAGGAACTAGTCTGATTCCTTATCCTCAGTGATAAAATTCCAAATAATTTTGAAGGTGGAGAAACAGCAGGATGGGATCCAGTGGTATTTTAGCTTTGTTAGTCTTAATAAATCACATATTAGAAACTTATTCATATCGAAATTACTTTATATGGGTGACTGTCATATTTTCTTGAGAGTTAAAATATTATTTACTATTTTCTCATTCTTGCCCATTTCCATGAATATCTACAGTTTGGTATTTACTTGCTGATTTTTAGGAGAATCAAGGGTCACAGTTTTGGTTTTTGTATGCTTAAGTTTTTAAAGCACAGCTATTCTGTGAATCTACAATTTTTTTGTGGAGAAATTACAGGAGGCTTAGTCCAGTATAACACAGGCTAGAACATTGTCAAAGGAGTATTTTTGTTGCTAATGAACAGAGAGGGAAAGAATCAATACTAAATTTCCACATTTCCTTCTTACAAACTGGTTAATTGTGGATGTGGTATGTGGTAGGTAGATCTGGGGTCACAACAATTTTTTTCTGGTTAAAAGTCCGGGAGAGAGCTTCTATTATTAGGTTGTAGATAAAACCTTAGCTATATCATGGAAATGGACTCCACAGGATTCTAGAATAGCATTTCCCAAATTGTGTCCTGTGAGATGCCCTGCAGGGAACAATTGCATGTGAGCAAATTTTTTAAATGTTACACGCTACTCTCCCTCTTGAGATGACTGTGGATATGAGCATTAAAGACTTTGATAAGTCTTCTGTGAAAAAAAGACAACCATTTAGCTTTGTTTAACATTTTTCCAGAAATAATTTAACCATGTTTTTAAACTAACTATCTGTGGGAAAAAGCAAATTTGGGAAATATTAGTTTAGAAAAATTAGTGTCCCAGAGCATCCTAATTAGGGTAATTAGAATCAAGTTAAGATTTTCTTTTCCCTTATCAGTTGTTGGAGAGAATCTGGTTCAAAATCAGAGTAATTTCATTTTAACCTGTGGACATAGTCATCTTGAGCTGGACTTAATAGAATTGTGTATGTCTGCAACCCGTTTGTTAGGACCTTGATTTTCTTAATCAGGTTGTGTATTGTTTAGGAACAAAATTTATTCTGTGTGTGTGTGCGTGCGCGCGCTGAATGGGTAACTGGAAAATCTTAAACAAGATTACTTGTAAGAAAGTACTAAAAGACTAGTGACTAATGCTTATGGCCTTATGGATAATGAGTCAATTATCATTGATTCTTACTTTCAAAATGTGTCATCAGTGAACATTATCTAAATACTTTTAAATAGGATACTGTATTAGAACTAATTTCTATTATCCTTTAAAAACAATCAACGTCTCAAATTGGAGGCAGGTAGGCAAACCTATTACAAGTGGGGTTTTTGTTTCAATCAGCAAGTTTTTAAGAGATACTTTTATAACCTCTAGTGTGTCCATTCCTTGATACTAGTCATCTATAAAGAGAACCCAGGAGCCTAAATTAATCAGAAATGATCATATTTCTGTGTCAGGGAATTGGCTATATGTAGTACAAACAATTCTCTGTTTTCTGTGAATAGGTTTTCAATGACAGTTACATAATTCTGGGATTGATTTCTCTTATTTCCTAATCAGTTTGTACTCAGGGAATAGAAATTGATTTTTAGTATTAGATGAGACATAAATGAGAAAATATCAGACAACTGTTGCAAGTTTTTGTTTTTTGACTGGATTTATCTGTAGCTTCTATTAATGTGCAGCATATTAAGTTAATATAAGCACTGCACCTTCCATTTATAAAATACAAAAGCTTGGAATGTGTCTACCACAGACACTGCCTCTTTGTATACTGGTCAATAATTTAAATTCTGTTAGTGGTTGTAAAATCTCATTATCTAAACACTAGACGTGTTCACAGTCCTGTTTTCAAAGACCCCTCCTTTTTCAATCTGGCATTTCTTTACCTGGTCATCTTGTCACTCTTACTTTTTAAATAAGGAATGTAGCTTATTTTAATAACAGTTCTCAGAGATCCTACTTTATTAGAAATTCTGGATGAGGGATATGTGCAATGTTTGTAAGTCACATCCTATGTTGGGGTTCATTTTTGTAACCTCTAAAGTGGGAGGGATAGATTAAAAGACCTCTGAGGTACCTTTGAGCTTTAAAGTTCTTCTCATGATTTGTGTTACTGTCCACTTTTTATATTTTTAGAGTTTTTATACTAGTGAGAATGTTCTATATATGTTTGGCAAGGCATTTTGAAGGTATATACTTGAATTTTTTCCTAAATACAACTACCCTCTGGTATACAAATGGCAGAAAACCAAACATATTAAAACATCATGTGTACTTGACATAAAACACAACATGATTAATTTGAAGCGATAGAAGTGTTCCATACATTTTTATAGTGAAGTTTAGGTCCAGAGACCCTCCATATCTATTAACTTAGTTAACACATTGCAGTAACCTTGTAAAGTAACCACTTTTCAGATGAGGAAGCAGGACCAGAAAGCTCTTCATAAAGATTTCATGCCATACAGGTATTGAGCAATGACCACTGCTTTCTATATGCCCCCTTCCTGTGGGGGGTAAATAGCTGAATCACTGAAACATCTGAGTAGTTGAGTAATAACAATAAACATAGATGTTTTGCTTTCAAGTCTTAGAGTGACATGATGTAGTCTTAACTGAATGTTTCTTTATTTGAACCAGTTGATTGTACTACCTAGATGTAATTATCTAAAATATTTAGGATTTAGCATTTTGATTTTTACAAGTACTTCTAAATTATTGAGGGTGCTTAAAAATACTGAAGAAACTTTTTAGTACATGCTTCTTTCTTTAACTTACATGGTTCTATAGTACGATCTTTTGCAAAAGTAAAACTAGCTCCAGCCCTTATCCTAAATTATAGTTTTTGACTGTTGTCCGAATTAGGCTTATCTAAATTTCATATATAGATTGATGATTTTTTATTTTGTATGCATATTAGATGATAAAACACTATTTTCCTAGAGTATATTTCTATTCACGAACTATCTAATTATTATCTGCTTAATAGAGATTCTCCCAAACCTTATAAAACTTTGAAATGTAATTTTTGTTTGATGAGCTTTAAAAATTATATAAATCTTATTTAAACAAGTTGCTGGCATCCTTACTAGCCTTTCCTACATATAATTATGATGCATTTGATGACACTGAACAGAGAACAGAACCCACAATCCAGACTGGATTGAGTTTTAATTAAACTTTTTCAGCCATAACCTGATAAGAATCAGGCTGGTCTAGAAGTTATCAGACTGAGGGCCTGTATTAATTTTGTGAGCCAATGTTAATGTTTACTGCCAGCCTTGCATAGCAATGCCAATTTGCAGCTGCAACTGTGCGTGTGACTTTTGGTAACTATTGTTTATATCTAAAGCAGTTTAGATTTTATGGAATTAGCTCATGATTATTGGGACAAGCAGGGTAGGTATATTTCAGTTACATTTAAAGTGCAATTGAGGAAATTTTAGAATAGAGTGCTCTTTACATGAAAAAAATGTATTTGTAGAATATCCTAACATCAAAACATTTTGAGCATTCATAGAATTTTGACAAAGTTCATACAGTGTTTTGTTTGTTTATTCAAGGTTTGCTACTTTGTATTGATTTAAAATTTCAAGGAACCTTCTAGCCAAGGAGAATTGCATACTTAATTTTTCCTGCTAGTTTATGCATGCATTTTTTCACAGCTAATAGTCCCTTTTAAGTAAGTTTTGTTACAAAGAAAGGCCATTTTTCTAAAATGAAAGGGAAACATTCACTGATCTAAAAAAAAACACCTTAATTGTGCCTTCTGTTTTAAATTATAGGAACAGTAATAATTAGTTATAAACTTGCTCAAACTGTATTTTCTTCTAATTCCTCT